CATGGATCTCATTCCTCTCTCTCCATTCTCAGCCTCTCCCTGTGCCACCCTCCCCATGCCGACAGGATGCACTCGCTGCTGGCTTTGCGCTGTCCCTTCCAGTTGCCGCTACCGCTGTTTCTCGCACCTCCTCCCCCAGATAACATGCCATGGTCTAAGCCTTCCTTAAGTGAAACGAGACGGGCTTGCCCCACAGTTACACCAGCCAGACCCTGGGAAGCTTTTTCCGTGCAAGACATCAACGAAGGACATTTTTCTGACTCGTTCAAGCTTAATCTGGCAAAGCAGAGTTCATGTGGAGCAGGGTCCTCCACCTCTTCAAATAACATAAGACTTGCTCTGCTGGCTTGGGCCAGGGGCCCAGCAGAGCTGCAGTCTTCTTCCAAAGGGCACCTGATGCTTCCCAGGAGGGTTTTACAGGCCCCCTTACTGATAAATAGAGAATAACCTGTCTGTCAGAAGAGGTGGTTTTTGACACGCCACCCCCCCACCACCTCCCTGCACACACAGCCTGATGCATGAGCATTTGGGCCTTTCTAAAAAATGCTTTTGGCGCATCAAGTGTCTGAAGGTCTTGTATTTCACCTTCATCAGGCGTGATTTCACCAATCAGGTGCTCATTCCTGCACATCAGGCCCCAGAGAGGAGGGTGAATCAGAGATGCCTTCTGGCTTTGGTAAAGGCTGGTCTCAAAGAACCAGTGTCAGGAGAGTGAGATTTGCACGGAAGACTCTGCTACCCTGAGAACTGGCTTGCTGCGCACAAGCTTTGGCGGGTGTCCCTCCAGCAATCCTTCCTGGGCTAGATATCTCCTATCCAGAACATAATTGCCCAGTGGTCCCTATGCAGCAGCTAGTGTAGATTATGAAGCAAAAGCAGTCCAGAGACTAAAACACAGGGCTGGCAACTCTTCTAATCTAATAGTTGTTCTCCCACTAATTTAGTATCCCCTTTAGTCACAAGATTGAAAGCCAGCCTACGCAGGGACGGTGCTGTGTGGAGGCTACCTCTGGAGGCATGTCCTATGTGGCCACTCTCACTCTGAAGTTAAGAATGCAACTCCTGAATCCTCACTGATGGTTAGTGCAGGACATACAGTGCACAGTAAATTCCCATAGCAGCTTAGTAAACTCCTGGTATGGAGAAACCCATAGCCATTTGCCGCTTCATTTCTAACTTTATTGAAAGGCCTTCTGTGACTTCAAAGAAAATGGGAATGTTTCTGGAGTTGTTTCTCCCTCTTCTGCCTGGCAGTTGTATACCTGTGATGGAATTTCATGGGAAGGAGAATATCACTGTGTTCTTTCGTCTTTCTGGAGTAATTTCCATAAAGCATTATTATGTAAAGTCCTATTGATTTTATGCCAGTGAAATTGTCAAGGACTTCATCCCAGAAGTGTCCAAAAAAAGGTGTTAATAATACAGATCTAGCTCACAGGTGGCTTTGGGATAGGCTAGCTAAGGCTTGTCAAGTGTTTCTCACGTGCTATAGAGAGGCAGGTCCTGCGAGTGAGCTGTCTGAAATGTAATCCCCTCCCTGCGTGGCTGACGCTTTGCTGTCTGCTCAGGGTGATCGGGTCTGATTCTCCCTGCTCGCTCCTTTGTGTTTCATATCCCAGTATTGTTCCTGAGTGGCATACTCATTCTCCTACAGAGTTAATCTCTGAATCCAGCAGATACAGTCTAGTTCTGTTGGATGAATGAGGGAGGGGAGAAGGTTTCTGTCCAATAGATGCATCATGCACGTGAGGTAACTGTTACAAGCTCTTTTTCTTGGTGGTGATGGTAACTATTTGAATTTTGATGCACAGAAAGGAAATGGGTGAAGGCAGGCAGGGAGTCAAAAGACAGAAAGGTGAGTAGAGATGTTGTATGGGTACCTCAGCCAGCCCTCAATGTGTCGTCTCTCCTCTACTGCACCCTCTTCAAGGGAGAACAGAGGTGTCATGGCAGCTTCTCCAGCTCCACAGCTAGAGAAATAGCTGGTTTGCCCACTGGTAAGCTGGGAAGAAGGATTTTTCCTCCCCTCCCCAAGAGGCTGCTATGCAAAACTTGTATTACTTGAGTGAGGAGAGCAAGTGGAAGAGAATGCTCCTCCAGACAGTGGGAATGAGGAGAACAGCTGACAGCTTGCCATGTGCAGCTTGCAGATCTCAGCAGTTTATGATGCTGTGGAACGGATTTTGAAGGAAAGGAGAAATTAAGCCGGGAGGTGAGGGGAAAATAGGACAACATGTACCATCTTTTGATCAAAAGTAAACAGCTTTCTTGGGGTAAGATTCCTGACCCTCTAGGTAAAAGAAACATAGCAGACCTTATATACTGGACTTCAGTAAGGCATATGATATGGTATCCCAGAAGAAGCAAATTAGTGGAGAAGATTCAGCCTAAGAAGACAGGGATTATTAGAGAAATCCTCAAGCGGGTAAGAGACTGACAGAACTGAGACACCAGTTCCCTAATAGGTTGAAGGGAAGTTATCTGTGAGGCTGCTCAAAGATTGCTCTTAGGACTGAACTTTTTTAATATTTGTGTTAATTACCTTGGCACTGAAAGTAGAAATGCTAATGAAATATGCTGATGGAACAAAGCTGGGAGGTATCATCAGGGCAGAGGTGGATTCCAGCACTAGGAGAACTGAAGGCTCTTTGGGACTGGAGTGATTGAGGTGAGGTTAAATGGGAGAGTGCAAAGTCACACACTAGGAACTTGTTGCTCAGAGAATAACAGGAATCTCTCTTAGCAATTGGGAGGTCCTAGCTGGCAGGACCGAGACAGGGAAAGTCCTGGGTGAAGGTCACCAAAGGAGGAGGAACCAGCGATGCTATGCGGGGGTGAAAAAGGCAAGTGAGCTTTCAGGACGTAGCAGTATTTCCAGTTGCAGTGGGTGAGATTAATGTCGTCCAAGAGGATGTGAGACCCCACCAGACCAGAATAGTGTGTGCAGTGCTGCTCACCCACATTTAAGAAAGATATTCAGCCTGGAACAGGTGCAAAGAAAGGCAATGGGGTGATCAGAGGGACAAGACGGTATTTCTCGGCCAAGAGTATGTTTACTTATCAGTCACAGAAGTGACTGCAGAGAGATATTTGAGCTGATTTGAAAATAGATCTGGTACCAGTTTGAGCTTTTCTGCGTTAATTATTTTGCACTGAACTTCATGCTAGTGCAGCTACCCAAAGTAATTAAAACATGGTGTGATGTGCCTGCAGGGTGAATACTATAAGGGAGGTTAGTTACTTAGTCTGGCAGAACAAAGGTTAAGAGAGGAGAGATTTGCTGCCTGTAAATACTTTTAGGAATTGGGGGTTGGGAAAGTAAGTGCTAGGGAGAGAGGAGAGCTACATAAGCTAAAGGACAATGTGGCACAAGAATAAATAGATATAAATTGGCCATGAATGAATTTAGGTTGGAAATCAGAAGGTTTCTAAGCAACAGAGCAGGGAAGGAGGTGCTGGAACAGCATTCTAGTAGCACAAGTGAGGGCGGAAACCTAATGAGATTTAGGACAGAGCTTAGTAAGTTTAGAAAAGGCCATTTGTTTTGTACTTGCCTGTTATTCAAAGGGATTGAACCTGATAAGCCAAGAGGTCCCTTTTTCATTCTATTTCCTGTACTTGCCTTATTGCCTTATCGGAGCTGCTCCCTTTCACACAGAAGCCAGGTAAATCCTGAATAGAGTTTGTGTGATGAGTTTTTCGGCATTGATCCTATGGATATTTAATGGAGGATTCATTCTGTGTCAGGGATTTAAACAGACAAAAAGAGGAAGCCAGCAGAATGCATAGAGAAGGACCGCAAATATGAAGTAGTATAGATGAGAGCTCACATATGAAAGAGCTTCTTCACATAAAACAGATGTTCTTGGAGCATCTGGCTTTACTGGAAGGCTGTTTCAAATGCATGTAGATGCTCTCCTGAGATTTGAGAACTTCAAGACACAGTCTGAAGGGAAAATGTCTTGTACTTTCCTGCCATTACCGAGAACTTTGTGCTTGGGGAGGATATCAGATTTACTGCACTGGGAAATTTCAGAAAAAAACACCTCCCAACAGTGGTTGAGATAGAAACTTCTCATATGTATTTCATCTCTGATACCTGGCCACAGCACTGCACTTATTCTGATTCTTCATATTGTCCCATGCTGGACGGGCACCTCTAAAGCACCACTGGATGCTACCTTCCTGGTGAAACATTTTATCTAAAATCCCCATGCGTGGATATGATTGAAAGGAAGGAGGGAGAGGGAAGTTCTCTGTTATACATTAGACCTCTGGAGGTGGCTTGAAGGCATCCTCCAGCAGGAGGCAAATTCCCAAGGACAGGCTGGGCCCTAGGGAACAGGAGTAGCATGTGACGATGGGCCCCTCAATGAGGGGGAACAGTTTTATAGTCACAGTTCCTTATTTAGTAAAAAATCCCAAATTATTCCATTATAGATGGATGTTTTCCCCTTCCCAGCCCAGAGTACCAAACCAGCACAGAGTGAGAAAAGAGGAAACAAGAAACAGCAAGGTGTGAAATGTCACTGTGTGTCGGTCTCATTTGCCAGTAAAGTTTTTAGCAAGAAAAACTGGAAGAGGATTTCATCTCACTGAGGAGAAATAACCATCTATCCCAACTAAGCATTTGCTTAGTTGTCAGCTTTATGTTACTGGAAATAAAGCATGGCACTCGCATAGCTACTGCTTCCGCTTCTCAACTCTGCAGCATCTCTGAGTAATTGAGGAGTGCTTTGCAAATGATAATGTAATTACAGCTCCTATAAACACTCTTCTTGCTTTACAGGTGGAGGAACCAAACCGTGGAGAGAGTAAAGAATTTGTGCAAAGGATCAGCAAGTCATTTTCAAGCAAGGAGTCCTCGTCTACCTAGCCACCAGACATTCATCTTGTCCTGTAAACTTCCAGCTAGATGAATTGCTGCTTTACAAAAATATATGTATGTATACATATATATGTTTCCCAACGTGAGAAGAAAGAAAAGAACAGACCTTTACCTCTTTTTGCTGAGCCTGCACAGGTAGAGGGAGGAGCAGGTGAAGTTGACTGAAGGGTGAGCTTTAGCACAGCCCCTTGGTCTTGCTGGAGCCCACCTATCTGTCAGTGTTCGGCTCCCAGAAGAGATCCGTGTCTGAGGGAGGACACTCTGGACAGGGTAAGCAAACCCCAGTCAGCTCCCAGGAGCTCAGCCTCCTGCTATGGTCTGACACTGGCTCACTGGCTGGAGATTCCCTCAAGCCTGGAGGACCGATGCTGGGGGAGACTAGCTCCCAAGCTGTTCCTGACATGCACTGGCAGCTGTCAGCCTGCTATTCTTTTAAAGAGTCTTCGTGGATCAGGATAAAAATGTGATCTTACGCAGGCGGCATTGTAAGCACAACTTGGCTCAAGTTCAGCTCTTCCTCTGGCTCCCAGCTACTCTATTTTTATTGAAGGAATTTGGGGCTATCAGAAAGGAAGTCAAATTGTTTTAGGAAAACAATAGAAAAGCAACTTGAAGTTTATTAGCTTCCTGCCCAGGGCCTGGGACCAACTTGTCAAACTTATTAGAGCGATGGCAGAGCTATTTATTTAAAAGGGCTAGCGACAAGACTCACAATTTCATTCCTGTTTAGGCCTTGGTGAAAACAAAGGAAAGCCATAAAATAATATCTGAAGGGAGCAGATGGCTAACTGGTAAATGGTGCAAGTAAGGTTGGCCTGTGAGCCATTCGTGGTGCTCACCAGTGCAGTGGCTTTTTTGGGATTTTGTTATCGAATTAATGCCCGGGCTTGCATTCATAGGCTAGCCCCATCACCCCAAATTCCTTATTGTGGCTCAAACTTTCAAATGGAAGCCTCACACCTAAGATTACAAATTTGGCAGGAAAAGGTCTTCGTTTAGAGCTACTGAAAGGAGCAAAACAATACGGCAGCCCTGCAGAAGAGCCAGGAATAGAGCCCAGGTGTCCCTGATCCTGTTGGACCCCCCCGACTGTAAAAAATATTTATATCCTTCAGAAGCAGCTGCAGTCTGCTTCCCCATTCAGCTACCCCAAAGTAGCAGTACCATTAAGTCACCGAAAACACGCTGGCATGTGGCTGGTGAGAAGAATGGACAGCCAAACTATTAGACTCACAAGCAGAAAGGGTCTGTGCTGCCTGAGCCTTTCTAAGGAGTTTCATCGTTTGCAAGGAAACAAGAAGAGAATAAAGCAAGTAACTGAGAAGCATTTACAAACTCTGCTTAATGCAAAGCCGTCTCCCTTTTTCACAGGGCTCTCTGCTAACTGAGTGTTTAACCTGCTTCCAGGGAGCATATAGGAAGAACTCACCTCTCCTTTCAACGGTGCAGTAGTAGTCTCTAGAAAGTCAGGTGCTGAGAGGTATTGAGCTTGCAGAGCTATGCACGCAAGCTTTGAACAACTCAGTAACCGCTTTTCAGATGAAAGGAAGAAGAGCCCACCCCAAAAATTCTCTTCCTTCTTCTCCTCATTAGCTTAACTGCAAGTGGGAATGCAAAGCTACAGTTTTCTCTGAGGCCTAGGGCAATATTGCATCTTGTATTGGCAAGTGGTAGAAGATCTCGGTTTATATGTTCCTTTTAATTTATCCGGGTTAGATGCTTATTAGGGGGTCAAAGTGAGTGCATGATCTCTGGAAGGGCCTAAGAAACTGGGTCTTAAACTTGGTAGTTTTAATGTAAATGCAACAATCTTGCATTTGTTTAAGGTATTCTTACAGCTTTTAGAAGGTTTCTCTAATTTCTGTCCCTCTGAGATATTTCCTTGGTAAACAAATCAGCCAAAGAAGCACACAGAGCAGTGCAACATCTCAGTTCATTACAGCCCATAGGCGTTTACTTAATTTTAAGTACATTCTTGAGTTGCATTGATTTTGATGAGATTTAATAGCGTGGAAGTTAAGCACCCCACGTTGCCAGCCAGCTTTGCTGGCGGAATTCTGAGGCCGACAGCAGCTAGTCGATATACTTCTCAGTTGCCTTTGCTGTAAGGGATGCCATATGCAAATCACATGACGGTGTTCTGGCAATGGAAAATATTTTATTTGCACTTATTTGGAATCTGTGTCATCTGGACTGGTATCACTTAATTCCAGTAAGTAGTGTTTCAACCCCAAATGTATGCTGTGAGAGACTTTTTGTCAGTCGCTCAGGACCGTTGGACCCTCGGGAGTCCCTGAGGCTGGGATCCTGCAAAGACTTGGTCACATGAATAACTTGATATAGTTACGGCTTGGGGCCATTTGTGTGGGTAAAGTCCCTCTGTGTACAAATGTCATAGGCTGGAAAACGTTGTAGATTGTTGAAGCTCCTGTTTTTTCTACCAGGAGCCAAAATGGTTGCTCAGAAACTTCTGGAATGACAGAAGTTACTAGCCGGCTGGACGCATGGATGCCAGGGGACCTCTCACCGCAGAAGGCTATGACATGCTGCCATGTGGTGCCAGTGCCCATCGCCCAGTTTCTGGGACGTGCTCTCCCATAGTGGGGTTAGATAGCTGTGCTGCTGCTGTGAGATCTCCTAGCTCTAAAGCTTGAGGCTTTAGAAAAAGGCTGCTTCAGCAATATCACCAGTGTGGAAAGAATCACAGGCACACGTCTCGTCATAAAGCAAGCTAGCTTTGCTGTGAGGTGGAAGGACCTCAGCCTGCTCTATGTATTCTCCACAGGGGGAAGAGAAATCAGGACTTGAATCTGCTCTGAAGGCCAAGATCTCTAGTACTTTCCCTGGAAGTCAGCTTCAAGGGAAGAAACAGTAAAAGGATTTGAGGAAAAAGAGACGTGTGCTTGGATGGTGGTGGGTGAAACTGAAAAGTAAACAGCCTGAGTTATGGGAGGATTCTCAGATGGTGCTTATTGCTCCCAGCCAGCTTGTTCTCTTTCGTGATGGTCTGAAAGCATTTCAAGACATGACCTCCTGGGTAAAATTAAGAACTTAATTAATTGCACAAATTTATGAGTAATGGTTCTTCCCACCAATTTTGTGATGTGTGTTGGCTGGATTCTGAAGCCTTCTGTGAACAATGCAAATTACAGCAAATGGAGGGGGCAGGAGGACACTGCTGGCCGAAGCAGATTAGAAGGGTACATTTTATATTAGAAGACCAAATATCCATGCGCTAAGCATGCGTCTGTGGGTGCACACACACACACAAGCTCACAGAACAAAAAATTTCTTTTGCTGGCAAAAGCTCACAAGCCAGACTAACTCCCAGCAATGTTGTGGTGCACAGTGTGCAGGGAGGGTGCCTTACAAGGGGCTTCCCTTTCCAAAGTGTGCCACGAGGTCGACTGGAGCAGTGCGAGGGAAGCAGGCAGCCCTGCGCCTTCATGCTACACCTTCTGTGTGCCTGCATAGAGGCAAAGGCTCACAGGGATGCATTAGGCACCTATAGTTGTCAGCCTGGTGTCCTGAGGATTTATTAGAGGAAAGCTTGGAAAAGGTTTGTATCCAGTTTTGCTTTCTGGAAGGGTAAAGGATTTGATCAATTCAAATCTCCTTAATTGTGTTTCCGGGCACCTGGGTTTCCTGGTAAAACGCCGTCCACTTGACTTTTTCTAACAGGCCCCCCTGCCCAGAAGAGGTGACAGCCTGCAGAGGAAACAGGTGTGCGCGTTAGTCACCTACAGCCACAAAGGCAAGGAAGTGAGCGCCGTGGCTTCCCTGAAGCAGCCAGCCGAGGCCATGCCGAGAGCCACGCTGGCTCTCCAGGTGGCCACAAGCGATGCTCACGTTTAAAGCTGCGAGGAGCAGGGAGGGGGCTAGGAAACTCTCTGAGCACTGAAGTCCTGCTGATGGCCTAACGTAGGGCTTTCCCCACTTAGCTTCCCATTTAATTTCATTTAAATTCCCCTTGCTCCTCATACATCTTGCGATGCACTCTGCTCCGATCTTAACTGCCGACTGCTCTGTATAAATCCAGGCACTGCATTCTCACTGGGTTCTTTGCATGCTGTAGCTTCTTGTTTTTAATGCTAGCGGAGGCAAAGATGAAGTGTGATCATGGGACAACTGGCAGAAAACTATATGCAAATTGCTAGCCTGTGCCGAGATGTTTCATTTGTGGGTTGCTGTTTTTTCATCTCTCCGATTTGGTGATTGACAGATGATATCAAAGTGGGCTTGCACTGTGCTAAGACCCCTGTATGAGCTCGTGCAGAAACCTGGTGATAAAATCTGACCAGTAAGTGATGTCAGACAGGGTAGTGTTTGTTTGCTGATGTTTATTATTTTCCTTAAAATGGTGGAAAAGGAAGAGAGATTTAAACTTGATTGAAACAAGTTGAGGTAGCTATAAATTCACTGGTTTTGAGCTGAATCTTGCAGTTCTGTACTCAAATACAGAGTTTGGCTTCTTGGTGAGAAAAACAAAATTTATTTTCCTTAAAAACTCCCCCCCGCCCCCCCAGTTGAGATATGATAAAAATAACTATTAAAATAATAAGTATTTTTTTTCCTGCTTGGGGATGATGTGTTTTGGCTTTCTGTGTGTATGAGAAACACAGATGCCTAAGCAATGCATGTAAGTAGGGTAGATGGCTTCTGCATGTGATACCCACATGGTATGATGTGGGGGCTTCCTATAATTACCCTATGCCTCTCGAAGGAGAAAAGTGAATTGGTTCTTTCAGACCAAGAGGAGCCCAAGGCTGATTCTTTGACAATGCACTTAGTATTTAGGAGTGTTGTCACCAAACCCGGGACACCACAGGATGGACCCACTGAAAGAACGCTTCAGAATATGAATGGCAGTGGTTAAAAGCCATGCAAGATTGCTCACAAGAAACAGAGAATAGAGAAATGGGAAGCCTTGATGTTGTCTGCTGTTCCCACACTACTCTCAGGCCAGCTTTGTGAAGAACCACGTTTCTCTCGCAGGGAAAGTAACAATTTAACACAGCAGGGAAGAAAGAGGTTTTGCAATGTGCTGCATGAAATTATGCAGTATCACTCAACTAACATCTGGTAAAATGTTCTTAAATAGCCTCATCTTCCTGTGTCAGCATTTCTAACATCAATAATTTTATTGGTAATAATCAGTGAGGTCTGAGATTTGTTGGAGGAGGATGGATGGCTGCATTTGGAGAGAAAATCTAAAGGGCTTTGAAGTATGCTGATAGAAAAATGCTGAGGCAACATCACAATTACTGAGCTGAGAAATCTGCACTTATTTGCAGTTCCCAAATTGTTTGGAAAACATGAGGAATGCTGCCTTGAGAGTAGTTACTGGTGCTTTAATGCCATCGCATTCCTAAGAGCTGGA